GTGTAAATTTAACAAAAAATAATGAGGTAAAGATTAGGGCTGGGTATTGGCCAGAGATTTCGTATTGCGATATATTGCGATATTTTTAATCGTATTGCGATATGTATTGCAATATTTTCAATGTAATAAAAATGGCATTTTCTTACTATATTTACTTTAATATACATGCAGAATGTACATAACAATGATAAGTAACCAACACGTAAAAAAAAATCTTGTTGATTTCATTTGAGATATGCTCTTAAAATGTTCCCACAAAACAACTTCTGTCTTACTGTTTGAATGAATAACAAACTTTCATAAGTCCGTTTTTATATTTAATGACAAAATTCCTTAATTTTAGCATATTGCCAATATATCGATATTACAAAATCGTATTGCGATACGATATTTTTTGTCATTGTATTGCAATATATTGAAATATCGATATTATTGCCCAGCCCTAGTAAAGATCTACGTTAAATTTCATTAAACGAACAAATTTAATATGACCACAAAACTTTATTTTATTGGCATGTTTAATAATAATTATACGTTTTGTATATTAGAGGTATAATATTTGTTTACGGCAGACTTAAATCCGAACGTATAAGTAAGTTTACAATTTTCCAAACTTTATTAAATTTGTTCTTTTAATTTTTCATTAAACTCGTATTAAATGCTAATTATTTTCTAACATTTACGATCCCACAATATGTTATATTATGCATTTAAACATTAAATAATCGCAGCATTTAAATCGCATTTAAGGTAAAATTAAACCCGACTTTTCATGCAGTGACGTGGAGGTTGAATTCTGTTCGTTATCTCCATATTTCAGTTCTAGGATAATGAATGTCATCAACAATTTGAGCATAATTTAAGAAGCTGTGCATAAATATACTGTAACGTTACTAAAAGACAAATTATAGTCCTATATAACTCTAACTTTAGGTCAAGCTACGCCCCTCTCGCACCATTAATTTTTTAAACGTCAACTAGGGCCTAGTGATTTAGATCCAGTTGTTTGACTGTTGGGTTCGTTTATTTTTGAACTAATTGTGTTGTTTTTGCAACTCAGTTTGTTGATTTTGTTGGAAGGTGTTTGTTTTGTATTTCAATATATTTATTTTTGTCAAATTAATTGTTCGTTTTGCATTGACGTCCTTTTTTTATATCCTTTCCACCGCCCATAGTCTTGTTCTTTTGTTCTTGTAGAAGTTCGCGTTTTGACAATAGAAAACAAAGGTACTTTATGAATATGCCCTAAAGAGTTACGGCCGATGACTTTTTTTCGATCGTCAACAAATTTGTTTTATTATGTCCCCCCAAATTGAAATTGTTACCTAAGGCGGGCCAATTAACGCGGCTATAAGCCTAAGAGTACACTTATGGCCGTCCTACTACTATAAATATGATTATTATATACTGTTACCTTGATGTGCTTGATTGGGTTTGTAGCAAGATTTTTTTTCTATAATGCTTCAGCTAATCAATCTCCTTGAGGCCAAGATTTTAACAAACTTTAGCCCTCTCCCCCCCCTACCCTTATCTGTGGATCACAAAAGACTTGTGAGTTTTCTGATTCTTCTGACGTCATAAATTGACAATGAATTTGACGTCATAAATTGACAAAGTATTTAGAAACTGACGTCATTGAATCTCGAAATCAAGTGCTTACAAAATGCTTAGACTTGCATTTATTTTTGTCATTCTGGGATGTTTGGAGAGTACATCGGACTTAAATATACATGAACTTCGACTTGTTGCTGATCATCTGAGATATGAAGACTGTTTGAAACTAATTACTGCGCTCCACCACACAGAATTTTTTGTGGACAAGGATAAAATCGAACCAGAAAACTCGAACAAATCGTGCTTATATCTGCTGTTGAAATGGGACAGAACGGAGGGTCGCGGTAAAACCTTCTATGATCTTCCATTGCGTCTCAGACAGTTGGGACATGCTTCTCTCGCCGGAAAACTGTCCAAGATAGTCTACCACGAGAAAGCTCTTAATCTGAAGAGGACTTTTATGGACGATCCTTACAAGCAGATGATTCCTCAAGACTCGTTCATGCTGGACAACGACAAAGTGAAGCGGAGGGTCCGAGCCGAGGCAGAAGGGAGGTCATCAAATCTCACTGTGGTGTTCTGGATAGCTTGTGGGGTGGTGTCATTTCTCATATTCCTGAGAATTTCACTTCGGATATTCTGTCCTGGAGCCTTTACTACTTTTTGGAAGAAACTAGCTCCTGATACAATGAAGGAAGGTTGTGACTTCTGCTGTGGTGAAATAAACAGATTTACCACCAGAATACGGAACTTCCGAGATACGTGTCCGATCCGGGTTGTATGCTTTGTTTGTGTCAATTGTTAGGCATACTCACTTCCGGTTTACAGAAAAATGGCATCAACTCCGCTGAACGATTTCGATTCCTGGCAAGTACCTGATCTAAAGCATTTTCTATCAACCAAGGGAATTACATGTTCCATCTATCTGAAGAGACATCTTATTAAATTATGTAAATTGGCGGTAGAAATCAATTTAGAAGATCTAGACGTAAACAATAATGACTTTGGTGCTTTCGACGTGCAACGCCGAACAGTAAATAAAGTTGTGTTACCACACATTAAGGATATTTCTGTCGATAAATGGTCATCAGATTTGAAAACATTACCTGACATAGAGATAGGAGATGTTATGGTGTGGCTTCTCCGTGTAGGATGGGACCCCCCACGTTTGAAAATGTATAAACAGGACAATGGCTACAAACTGTATACCAGTTCACATGTTGACAATGTCAAACTTCATTATTTTGAAAATGTAGCATGCTTCTATATTAAGTGTCAGACAGTCCCAGAAACCAGGCAACAGGCAGCACCCTACCAGACATGGATTCTCGTCAATGAGGGTGGACAAGTACAGTCAGGTGGATGCTCGTGTGTTGCGTAAGAATCATTTATACTTTAAAGAAATGGTTACTTGAATACTAAACTGTAGAAGATTATATGAATTCTTGAAATATATTCATTTATTTCTTTGATATTAATAAATTTAAAAATTATATTCTTTTTTTATTAATTACAGAAATGATGGTTCGTGCAAACACTGTACAGCACTTCTTTTTTCCCTTTGTTCATTCAATGAAAGACACAAAGACAGACACACACTAGTTGGAACTGATGTCTTATGCTCATGGGATAAACCACGCTCTGCATCACGACCTGAAAAAATTCAGAATGTACAGGTTCACAACTCCAATTCGACAGCTGAAAATGATCAACACGGCCCTTGTCATACTGTATACAACCCTTGTAAAGGTCTTCAGAATGAACGTGAGATTGAAAAAAAATTATTTGATATGTGCAAGGACTCTAATTCACTTTTACTAGAAACACTTGACCCACCATCTGATTATGAAGATACTAGTGAGGATATTCCAGGATTACATGAAGTAATCAAAGAGGCAAGTCTAAAGAATATTTCTGTAACTTCACATTTACAAGCTGTATTTAATCCAGAAACCATCTTGAGAATAGCAGATATAACCAAGGATCAGAGTACAGGTACATGTGATGAATGGAAAAGACACAGACATGGACGTATAACTGCATCTGTTTTCTCAAAAGTGTTGCATTTTCGAGGATCAAAATCTTATGAAAATTACATTGTACGAGAAATAATGCAACTGCGGAGTGACATATCAAATGTTCCAGCAATTGCATATGGAAGAGAGAATGAAGCTGTGGCTAGACAGTTGTACTTTGATGAATACAAGAAAGGACATAAGTGTGCAAAATTGAATAACATTGGATTTCACATTTTCACCGAAAAACCGTACATGGGAGCAACTCCAGATGGTTTAATAATGTGTAAATGTTGTGGTAAAGGACTTATAGAAATAAAATGTTCTTATTCTCATCAAAATGAAACGCCATATGATATTGCAGGTGACTCTTCATACCATTTATACAGAGATGAAAGCAATGGTAGTGTACATCTTCGCCATGACTCACCATGGTATATCCAGATTCAGGGACAATTAGGTATTCTTTCCCTTCCATGGTGCGATTTTGTTTTTTATACCAAACGAGGATTACTTACTGACAGGATTTATTTTGATTGTGACATTTTTAATTCTATTGTACAAAAGTGTACACTTTTCTTTGAAAAGTACCTTCATAATGCTTTGCTATCACAGTGAAATAGAAACGCATACAGGACAAACAAATCTGTGCATCATTGACATGATAATTCAGTATTTTTTTCACTGTATTCAAATACACAAGACAGGTTTATTCTGTACGGTTTGCATTTAATATTTTTCACATTTACATTTTCTCCGATACTTGTGAGGAAAATAAAAACCTAAAGTTTATGAATCAAATTCAGTAAAATGAGGTTAAATGTACTAGGTCATAGAGACTTCAATTTTTACTCCCTTCATCAAGTGTTCATAGTGCAGATGCCAATTTTTTTCAGGATTCTTTGATATTTATAACGAGAAAGTTCATTATAATTGAGTTTTACAGCATCAAAACATTGAATTTTCATCTTGTGTTTTAACAAGAATCCTGTACACATTCTGATAATCTATAAATTTAGAAAAAAAATTAATAGCTTGTTATTATTCATATTTATTGTTCACCATATTTTCAGATATAGCAAGACAGCATAACATGATTTGAAGTGAGAATGCATACATAACATGATTGATATTTTTTCACTCTGATGCCTTTTACAACTCCACATTCTGATGGTTTTATTACATCTCCACATCAAAAATAACTTGCTTGAACAGAAATGAATGTAAATATGTTACTATAGCTTTTTGTATTTTGATTGGCTTTCTTTTCCATCTTTAAAAATATCAGATGTAAGAAAAATTGTTAATATAAATTAGTTTTATGTCATGTACATGTAAATTTGCATCAACATCTTTGTAAAGGAATGTAGAATCAAAACATTGTACACTACATTAGAATATGTATTGAAGAAATTATCAGCAGTCAAAGAATGTATTTTAAATCAATAGCTATTATCAAAGTTAACAAGGTAAATGCAAGGAAAAAAAGTTGGTTCTCTTGTAAAATTATGAATGGAAAATGCACATTTTTTTTTTACTTTTTAACAAGTGGAGAATCAATGTTGCACAGAAAAGCAGCTACAACCAAAATTTGATCTGCAATTGGTTTCAAGGTTAAAGGCATTATACCCGATAAAATTCGATAGGTCTTAAGTCGTTGAATGGCTCTTTCAACGTGAATGCGAAGTCTTGCAATTTGTCTTGTTTGTCTGATTTGTGTAGGTGATAGTGTCTTGCCCTTGCCCCAAGCACATTTCTGAGTGAATGGTGGAATCACTAATTTTGCTCTCCGTTCCAGCAAGTAATCTCTTATAACAAAACCACGATCTGCCATCACCTCGTCACCTGGTGAAATTTTATCAAGAAAACCACTGTTTGCTGTTATAAATCTATCGGATACATTTCCTCCCCAAAATTCGGATATAAAGGAAAATGCTCCAGACGGAGTTATGCCCACTAGTGCTTTAAAAGTATTATGATTCTTATAGTTACTGTATGTCTGGCTTTGAGCTGTTGGACTTCTAGGTTTCTGGATGAATACCTCAGTACAGTCGATAATTACACGAGTATTAGGAAATGATGCCTTAAATGATCTGGGCATAAATTTCCGTATTTTCTGCATGGATGGCCATTTAATCTGAGGAGCAAACACTCGATACATGTAGTTTATCCAAGTATTGAAGATTTGGGACACACGACTCTCCGATATTCCAAAAATATCCTTAAGAATACCTATGTTTAAATCCTGACGAATTCTAAGTAGCGTAAGAAGGTACTCGTGGAACATTGTGAGCTTTCTCTCAGGACCAGGTTTTCTAGCATTGCCCTCTTCATAGCGCTTTTCATCTATGCTATCTTTGCCAGACCAATATTTGAGTTTCTTGCATGCATTTTCAAGTATGCCTATAAAAAAACAATGCAGCCTTTCATTATGGTTACTGTTCATAATGTAAATTATCACATCCTGGAAGAAAGTTTTGTTATTACTTTCATCAACACTTGAAAATTTATTGTATTTACACGCGAATGTTAAATGAATTTTATTGCAATAAATACTTACTGAATAGACCAAAAAGTATAGAAATACTGGGTAACCCAAAATATCTTCTGACTGATGCATCAGAGCTTGTGGCTTTATGAACAAACATTTCACGCAAAACATTCCCTTTGGAATAACTGGCACTCTCTGTCTCCATGATGTTTATATCATGTACGGAAAGATCTGTTTGGACTTCTGCATTACTGTACTCTGGGTACTTTCTGTGTGCAGTACTGTATTCATGATCTGTGTGCAGTTCTAAAATTTGTAAAAGTACATAAACTATTTATGTAGAATACCATTATACCAATAAAAACAAGAATCTCAAAGTTAACTTGCATGCATTACATGTATTACCATAATATGTTAAGCTAAATTTTGGAAATTCATAAAGGACATCAAAATTAGTGCCCATACTTTGTTTGATTTTAGTTGCTATTTTCCCATGCTTCACTTCTGCATTCTCCTCATTCACTATGGTGGTACTGACTATGCACTCACTATGTACGGGCAAAGGGATTACACTTCCATCATGAAGTACAGTGACACCCTAAAAAAAATCAACATAGAAACATACTCATAGAAAAATATATATATGTTAAAAGATGACACGAATACTCTTTATCAAATAAAAATCTAATCTGCAAATTTCATGGTCTGTATACATGTAGGTTGAAAATGTGAATTATGTACATGTACTTTCTAAATAAATCTAGGCAGTTTTTACTATGTACATAGAGTAGATTATTACACACCATTGTTGAAACCTGAGGTTGCCAATCTGCAGTATTATTGTTGAGATCCTTTAAAATCTCCCTTTTGTCAATGGATTTCCTGCTTCTATTCAAAGGTGGGCCTTCTCCAAAGTTATTTCGAGGAAACAAGGTAGGTACTGGATGCTGTTCCAATGGACAGCCATCAACGAAATGTAAGGAACACACTCTGTGATGCCTTCCAGGATCATATTTTTCTTCGCGAAAAATCTGATTGAGCCACCTGCCGAAAAGGAAAAAAACTACATGTATTCAATTTAATGTTTACTACATCAAAAAACCAATTCAATTAATTACGTCACTTTTGTTTTGAACATGCACTGTAAACAATGACTTTCTAAACAACTATTAAATACTACATTCAGATTCTTATTCTGTTTGATATGAGTCACAAGATTTATACACCAGGTAAATACATGTACAAGTACCATGTCAGTGTGGAAGTTCTTTTAAAAATATTAGAGTGCATGTATATTTATAGAAATTCTATCAACTTCAAGGGTCTCTATGTGTACAGACACATGAATTTTCAACAATAAATTGCATTAAGTGCTGCCCTCAATAAAAAATCTACTCCTCAATATATAAAAACACATATTCATGTATGTACATATTATAACCAATATAGGGAAGTTTTGCGTGTGTGTTTTTTTTTTTGTTAATAGTTCATGCAGGGCTTTTATTTCAATTTACTGTCAAAAAATCAGGTGCCTGTGGTGCATTTTTTGGTCGTCAACAGTGAATTAAAACGTGTACTGATTAAAAAAACACAAAGTCAAACAATATTTAACTACATAATCAACCTACCTGCGTCGCAGCGAAGGATTGCGATGCGGTCCTGGGTAGGCATGAAATGTCACACCTTTCATCCATGGATAGGCAGCTAAAATGGCTTTCTTCCGACCATCGGCAGTACAGCCAGGTACAGAGCACCAATATGAACTGGGTTCATCCGCTGATTTCTTTGTCTGCGTCCTTTCTTTTCCCATTCAAATCGCATTAGCGCGCGTCTGCTAACTTTCACTTTCTCGATGAGATTGCCTAACAATTTGTGCATTATCACGTGACAGAGATTCTAATTACTGAACCAAAAACGACCGTAACTACATATCTCGGAAGTTCCGTATTAAAAAGCATTATAAACGTTACGTGATAGGCATTCACATTGAAGATAAAGTTTTGGACGAAGAGGTATAAAAATTGTAATATATTCAAAACATGTACATTCTTCATCTATTCTTTATTTCTGAACTGTGTTTGAACCTTTTACGAATATTTGTTGCAATTAACTTTTGCCAAAAAAAAAAGATACTTTTCCCAATTTTGTTTTATGAATATTTTTAACCATATCTAGTATTATATTTTTGGTTTTTTTAAGAGATACTAGTAGAAGACAAAAGAACTTTTCAAAAAAGTTCTGACGTTGTTTATCTCTCCCTCTCAATGAAAATTTGAGCCAAATATTTTAGAACCTAGGGTGGTCTGTTGTACAATAAATAATACTATTATAGACTAGAATGTATCTGCATTCTCCATTATATAGAAAGAGAAGATCACTTCTTCATGACATTTAATTTTCTTTAAATCGTAGTTTATTTGATGTACATGTATTAATTAAAAGAAACGTTTTACAGTACTTACTAAACTAGTCTAGACTTTGAATTGTCGCAAAAAGAAATGCATTCATATGATATTAAAGAATTCATTTTAATAAGGTTAGTTTATGTACTTACTGGACCAAAACAGGTGATATACGTATCTACTACATTTGAGTTAAACAATTTAAAAAGAGTGCACAGATTGTTAAGTAAGAGGGTATGGCTTGAAGAGATAAAGAGGGTTGGAGATGATACTAGTATGGCCATTCTTAGATTCTATTAACCTTAGGATCTTGATAAACAATGGAGAATTCCATTCATTTCTAGGTGGATCTTACTGGGTCGTTTGTTGACTATCCAACCTTTTCATACTTAAACCCTTTTACAATTGAGAATGTAGATTTATTTACTGTTTACTGTAGTATATTATATAAATGTCAAAAAGAATACCGTTAAAACAAATTGATATATGTCCAATTTAATGAAAATTTTTAAAGAAAACCAGAGATCATGTAGGTCAGTACTAATTGATTTATGGCCCATGGGTGATGGGTTTGACTGTTTCATTCTGAACAATACTGCAAATTATCTTAAACGACATGAATAGGGGAAATCTTGGTATGCTCCATAAGTTATTGTCGTATTTCCATAAATCTGGGTTCTCGTTGTGGATGATGACCCGAGAAGATAACGAGAAGTGACAGCGCCCTCTATGGATTGCTGTCAGATAACGTGACACTGGGAAACGTGCGTGCTTCTCCAGATCCAGAAGGAAGCTCCACAGACGTGTACACCGTATTTTTCCTAACAAAATTACAATACCAAAGACTCCCCCAAGTAAGATCTGCCACAGACAGAGTTTTGGAGAGTGCAATTGATTGAAACAGCCTCTCAGGGCAGACGAACCTTTTGCTCTTGTATGGGATATGTCCTTACTATCTCCTGTGACATTTTCCAGAAGCATGAATTCAAAAACTAAAAACATGCCAGTTTAAACTATAATACCATCTATAAAAATGAGTTGTAGGTTTTCTATTTTGAATCTTGATAATCTTTAAGAAGTTAAAGTTTTTGATTCATAAGAGTACAATCATGCTTGGGGAAACGATAATACGCTGTCATACAAATGTTTCTTTCCGTATATCCGAAAATATATTTTGATATTGTACAACTCGTGTGTGTGTGTGTGTGTGAATGAAAAAAATGTGAATATTTAAAAGAATTTTTTACATTTCAGAAATATGATTTTAGGAGAGAGTAAATATAATGGGCGTAAAGTACATGGGTGCTCGATGTTTGTGACTTGTATTTTATCATTTATCTTTTAAAGTTGTATGCTTGCATTTTTAGAAGTACGGTATTTTGGTTTAGACTTGATCGGATTGTAGTCGATGTTTGATGAAATACTTTCTCCCCCCTCCCCCCTTTAAACTTCCGATTCCGATCTGCAACTTGTGGCAGTTAAGGTAGGATTCTTCTCATATTTCTAATATTTAAAAATTAATGAAATTTTCACAGAATCAAGAACACAATATCAGTAAGTGATAGTATCAGTGAAATTAAATTCGACCGTTTTATATCAGAGACAAGGTCAGGTCAAGGTCATTATCTTTTTCTTTGATATTAAGAATAAAAAATAACTGTTGCCAATCATGTTATACCTACTTCTATTTCAAAAGTTTAATGATTGTTCTTTTTGCATAAAAACCAATTAATAAATCGGGTCTAAAGCATGATATTACCAAAATTACACAAATAGTATAACTTAACTGGATATTGGCTAATCCGAATTTTCTCTGTTTTTCTTAATTTTTTAGGATATATTAGTTATTTTCATATGCTTCCTATATTTAACTTTTTCTTACTTTCACATTTAATAAAGTAGTCTTATAAATGTACAAAATGATACAAAACCAAAAAGTTTTGATCGTTTACTTAGAGGGAAAAAATACTTTTTATGAATTTTGGCTCAAATCTGCACTTTGATAGGAAGCGTTCAAAAGCTAATAAAGTTCTGGTTTGTTTGAAAAATCATATTTATTTGATATATTTTGAAAGTTTAGTCCCTCATTATTAATCTAACTTACATTTGAAAATTTCTCTATGTCTTCGATTGTGTAAAAATTATAACTAAATTCCTTGTTTTATTATAATTTTATATCACCATTCCGCCAAAAATATAGTCCCTGCTAGTTTTCAAACGCAGTTTACCATTTCTATTTAAAGTTGTATAATTCTGATGAGGAAAGAAAAATATGGTCTTTTAAATTCCTTACACATCAATATATAAGACATATAAGCAAATGTACTTTTAATGTTTCATCTAGTCACAAACCAGAGAAGAATCCTACCTTAACTGCAAGTAGGCATTCAAAGCTTGGATACTAGTATTTTGGGAGGAATATTTGTCATAGGTATATATGCATGTTTTTACAGAATCAGGATATAAATATAAATCGTGCATTTTTTTGATAAGCAACATTATTTATGAGACATCTCTGTCAAAAACCATACTGACGAAAAAACGCGCCGTGGATCGCATTTGAACTAGAAGTTAAACGTACGTACGCTGACTGTAAAATTGAAGACGTTACAGAAAGCAAAAATAAATAAGCAAATAAATAAATAAAAACCTTCAATCTCTTTTGAATATATTTATTGTAGTGGATAAATATACTTATATATATTTACTTTTTATTTTCGATCAATAAACCATGAAATTTTCTAAGTGTTAAGTGTGTGTGTGTGTGTGTGTGTGTGTGTTTTTTTATAGAAATATTTACATGTCTAATTGTTTTCTCTGTGAAAAGAAATATTTAAAATTCACTTACTTGTATAATTTTTTTTTCGAAAAGAGATCAACCCTGAGAATATAATTTTACGAAAGTGGAAACCTTCTGTGGAAAATCATTTTTCAAGAAAATAGGGCTGGGCAATAATATCGATATTTCAATATATTGCAATACAATGACAAAAAATATCGTATCGCAATACGATTTTGTAATATCGATATATTGGCAATATGCTAAAATTAAGGAATTTTGTCATTAAATATAAAAACAGACTTATGAAAGTTTGTTATTCATTCAAACAGTAAGACAGAAGTTGTTTTGTGGGAACATTTTAAGAGCATATCTCAAATGAAATCAACAAGATTTTTTTTTACGTGTTGGTTACTTATCATTGTTATGTACATTCTGCATGTATATTAAAGTAAATATAGTAAGAAAATGCCATTTTTATTACATTGAAAATATTGCAATACATATCGCAATACGATTAAAAATATCGCAATATATCGCAATACGAAATCTCTGGCCAATACCCAGCCCTACAAGAAAAACCATTTTTACCCCATTGAAATAGGACCAAGCGAATTTCACAGAAAGCAGCCTGAATATTTTAAAAATCTGATCTTCTAGAAAAATTGATTTATGAGGCAGTTTTAAGTTTAAGAGCAAAGAAGTCCCGAATTCCCATGGTTGTGGGGACATTTGACAAACTCTCTGACTGGGCGGTAGTGAAGTTCTATTAATCCTCGGGAGGATCAATATACCCCTATCACGTATACACAAGCAACTGAAAAAATTAATCAAGATTTTCTGAGAAACAATACTCAATACTAATGTATTATTAATGGTGCCTTAAGAACGATGATTAATTTCCACACCAGGACCTTAGGGTTGCATTTTGGGGTATCCATGGTATTAGTTTTGACAAGTATTTGGGATCGGAGAAGGAAAGATGAGAGGTCAGTATTTAAGTGCTGTCTTAATTGGGAGAGTTAAGTTTCATTCATCCATTGTCTCTCCATTCACTGGTGTTCCGTGAACGTTCTAGTTATGGACAATGTATATTGGAGTCGTCGTTTATCTGTTATTAGAAGAATGGACGCCAGATATGTTACGGACGCTGGGTAATGCAGCGGAATACTTGAAATAAGTTCATCTCTATTGCTTTTATTTAATTTCCGTCTCAAGACATACAGATAAACCAATTGCAGTCAATCAAGATAAAAATAACTTAAAGCTGCGCACGACTCGTAAATTGGCATACGCCATATTAGTTTTCCTATCTCTTCTATCAGCACTGGGGTATATAAACCCTTTGATTTCGTTAAACCTGATAGCCTAGTCGCTGCTACGTGTAGTGCATGTACGTATCTTACATTGTCCTTCTTGGTTACGTTTTTTAATTTCATTTGAGTGAATTTGTGTAACATCGACCTCTGCAATTTATATATGTTATTTTTGGTAATTTTTTTGGTGGAGGCAAACGGAAGCAATTTTTATTGCTCCCAGGCATATCACAACGATAGAAAAGGAGTGTCCTTCTGGTAAATCCACGAAGTGAAATAGACCTCTGAACAAAGCTGAGGCTTAAATATAGCG